GTATCAAGGTCCCACACAATCAGAATCAAACCTACGCTGCAGCCGCTCCCACAAACAGATGCTCTGATCAATCTGAATGGGAGTTATTCTCCAGCTAAACTCGATGCTGCCCCAGCTTTCTTTGTAGACGTGCATTTGTCTTTCTATTTAATGATAGTGCCTTAAGGAATGTGCAAAGTCCTTGTAGAATTCAGAGGACAGGGAAAGTACTTCTTGCTGGGGGAGGAGGAGAGAGATGTTCAGGGAAAGATTCAGAGGATAAATTATATTTTAATTGTGCCTTTAAGAATGTTATTAAGTAAATTAAATGATCTCTGTATATAAATGAAGAAACTTAAAATGTATTTATTTGAAAATTGTTTTATCTCCCTTTGAAATAGAATATAACTTTGAAATAAAAAATACTAAACAAATTACAACTTAGAATATTGTAATAATTCGAGCTCAGGGATTTTACTCTGCACTCTCATTTTATTAAAATTTCTTTTCTTATGAAAAAACAGGTAATCCATTACTAAGCTTTACCTCTCTTAATGTACATTCTAAGATTAAATTTGTTTCAATATAGGCATCTTTGACAGATTTACACATTCTGGTCCTTGGTCAATGGACTCAAATTGACTAATTTACATGCTACCTATCATTTCCCCCCGCCAACCAATTTTTTTTTGTTAACAAGCTATTTGTGAGATGATTAGTAGAGGTTAGGAACAAAGTCTATGACAAAAGAAACCCATGAACCTGTTTCCCTAAGACAAAGGACTAATTTTTTCTTAGGCTATCTTACTTCTATAAAAATTATTGATAATTTTCACTGGTTATTTTATCACACTGAAATAATAAGGTCCATTATATGGTTTCTTTTCTTTTTTTTTTTTTTTTTTTTTTTTTTTTTTTTTTTGAGACAGAGTTTCGCTCTTCTTGGCCAGGCTGGAGTGCAATTGCGCGATCTCAGTTCATAGCAAACTCTGCCTCCTGGATTCAAGCGATTCTCCTGCCTCACCCTCCCGAGTAGCTGGGATTACAGGCATGCGCCACCATGCCTGGCTAATTTTGTATTTTTAGTAGAGACAGGGTTTCTCCACGTTGGTCAGGCTGGTCTCGAACGCCCAACCTCAGGTGATCTGCCCACCTCGGCCTCCCAAAGTGCTAGGATTACAGGCATGAGCCACTGCGCCCGGCCTATTATATGGTTTCTAAAGATGACCTGGCTACTTTACATAGCTAGCTCAAGGCTCTATTCAAATCCAGCTCATCTCTCCAGTGTAGGATTCATCTTAGCTTGAGCTGCTAAGGCAGTATACCATCATGGTTAAATCAAGTTTTCTGGAGTCAGGTTTAAACTCCAGCAAGACCATGTAGAAGCTGTCTGACTTTGGCTGAGGTAGCTAACTTTTGTTTCAGTTTTACCACCTATCAAATGCGGGTGATGGTCATTGCACCCATCTCATAAAACTATTATGAAGAATTGAGTGTCTACATCTATACATAAGTATCCTCTCTTACACAGTATATAATAGAATGTATAATATGATATGTAATATATTACATGAGAGAGACCATTTAGAATCATACTTGGCACATAATAAGAGGTTTATAATAATCATATTATTACTATTAGGTATAATTTGTCTGTTAAGGCCCAAATATCTTAATTGAAACAGAAAAGAGTGCTTAGTAAATTTGTTTATTATATTTTTGTTTCCTTATCTGTTCCTAAAGCTAAACAATCAAAAAACATTTTATATTTCCCAAATATATTTGGATTCTGTCCTTATTTAATCTCAAACCACCAGTCCAAGTTCAGTGAAAACTTTTATTGGTGGCACCTTGATTCAGCCTGAGGATAGAGCGGCTTGTTCAGCTTGGCTCACCATGGGGTAACGTGTAAATTGCACTGGACCTAAGAAGCTGTCATGGGATGTTTAAATCTATCCTCTTTCTTCAATAAATGATTTGTATCTAATTACAAATGCTTATGAGATTTTTAAATATTTGAACTGACAGTCTGAATTGATCAAATTAACAAAAAATCTGTCAAAATCCAACTACATTTTGTGTTAAAGACAGAAAAGAAGGCAGGGTGCTTATCAGTCACTGAACTCTGGAATCATTAGTTCCACTTTCCATTCTATTTGTGTTTATCTTTGTAATCTCATGCTTTGGGCCTAAAACAATAGTCATTGAACCTTTGGTTCACTGAATCTCAAAGCTGAGAGGGACTCCAGGGGCATCTAGTTCTACTCCTCCTTTCACAAATGAGGAAACTGAGATCCATTATGTTTAAATGACTTACATAATCCACATGGGTATGATTCTGTTTGAGTTTAAAGAGTGAAATCTTAACAAGATGATAACTTGTTATTTTAGTCATTAACAAGCTCTGGGTTTCCTATGATTGGATGTTAAAAGAATTGCCAAGGTGTTTTGTCGATGCTTTGCTCTTTGAAACCTATTGAAAATACATAAAGAATATCATATCTGGAAATTTGTGTTCACTATAATTTATTTTTTCATGTTTTTCATGTGCAAGCAGACTTGCATCAAGAGCTGCTAAAGGATTTCTCTTCATCATTTAAGTGCAATCTAGCAGCAACTACTACATCTGATAAACTGCGAAACACAGAATATAGGATTCTTGAAGCTACTGTCAGGTACTCCTTTAATTATATTTCTTTGGATTAAATTGAAATGAAACTTCAGCTATGCTTGCAATTAAAGAAGTTGAAACTTCAATGTATTTCCTTTTCCATTCACACCCTGCCTGAAAGTGATGTATTTTAGCTTCTGAATATTCCATGCTTCCAACCTCTGCCTCCCTACACACACACACACACACACACACACACACACACACAGAGAGAGAGAGAGAAACTTGAATATACGTATGGAATCTCTCAAAGTTTTTTTCTACCAAATGTAGCCAAAGAATCACTAGGCTTGAATGATATATATGACACATGGTCAAATATTTATCATGATAAAATAATTTATCCTACAACTCTAAAGTGTTTCTTTATCTTGGCTTCTTTTCCTTTCTTAAAAAAGATCTCTAAGTGCCCAAAAGGCTAAACTTACCATATAGAATTTCACTGTAACAAATACTACTATATTATACTTCAAACTTGTATTTTATTTTGAGACAGGGTCTCACTCTGTCACCCAGGCTAGAGTGCCGTGGCACTATCATGGCTCACTGCAGCCTCAACCTCCCTGGGCTCAGGCGATCCTCCCACCTCAGCCTCCCAAGTAGCTGAGACTACAGGTGTATGGCATCATGCTGGCTGGTTTTTTTTTCGTATTTTTGTATGGACCAGATTTTACCATGTTGCTCAGGCTGGTCTCCAACTCCTGGGCTCAAGTGATGCTCCTCCCTCGGCCTCCCAGAGTGCTGGGATTACAAGCATGAGGCGCTGCACTCAGTCCAAACTTGTTTTCTTATAAAAGCACTTTGTAACAAAGATTGGGTCAAAAATCACTAAACATAGTTCAAGGAGGCAGGACTTAAGACTTGAAAGAAACAGGTATCCAGCTTCCCTATTGAGAGTGAATGATTGAGAAGAGCTTTGGACCTAATAATGGAAAGATGCAGTCTCTCTCCCTTCTCCCATCCCACATTAAATCATCATCATCATCATCACCGCCTTCCCAGCTAAGGAACTCATCCTTGCCTGCTCTTTGTTCTGTTTGTTTCGAAGCTGGGTTGGCTTTCCTCAGAGGACGGGTTGGCATTTTAGAGGTGGGAGTGAATTACTGAAGAATCGTCCACAGTTGATTGACACCTGCCTCTGCACTGCTGTTCAGCCTCTCCTCCCTCCCCCACTCTCTGCTCTCTCCTGCTCTGTCACAATGCTGAGGGCATAGTCAGCACTGTCACGGGGTTTAACTTTTATTTCTGCATTCCTGTCCACTCACGCCTCTCTTTGTAGAGATGAAACCTGCAGAGCTGGAATCGTGGATTCACTTGAACGTGGAAAGCAGCGTGACTCAGCCCTCCCAGCCTGCAGAATGCGGGTTGGGACTGCCATGATCCCCCAACACGATTTCCCCGAGTTTCTTTTATCCCTTGTCATCTTTTATTAGCAGAGCTGATTTTATTTTTAAAAACCCATGAAACAAAACTAAAAACCAAACCAAAATTGTTCTACTGTGAAGGGAGGGCATGCGCAATGAAGTATTTTCCCAGGCGAGGTGAGAGTTTCTGCTCATTCACCCTCACGCTGTCTCCTTGTGGCTAGAAGCACATGTTTGCAAGTTGGGAGGCTAGGGTCAGGAATACAGTCAGCTTGTGACCACAGAGTAGGAAATAGCAGCTGGCTGTCACTACGAAATAGTACATCCATGGTCTCACTGGCACATGCATTAAACCAACAGAGTTAAACGCTCCTCATCAGTTATATCCAGCCTTTGTGAGTTCAGCGGCACCCATGACTCTTCATTCTGGATGGTTTGGCTCTTAGGCCAGTATTGGAGCAGATTGTGAAGTGGGAGCCAAGTGAGTTTGGCAGAACCTAAGACCGAGGTCAAATGATCATAAGAATTATTCAGACCTCAAATATGACACTTAGGCCAAAGGGAAGACTTTCTAAGAGGAGAATTTCCTCCTCCACACAGATGATGGGGTCTGAATGAACCGAATTAAAATAGAGCCAGTTTTGAAGCACCCATGGGTGCGCGTCTACGATTTTTATGTGGCCATTCACAAACCACTGGATAGGTAATGCTGTACTAAAAGGAATTTAAGCCTGTCAGGTTAATTACACAATATTAGGTACGAAAACAAACAGTGCAACACAAAACATAGCTACATCATTATTTGCAGTAAATGTTAACTCTAAATAAGTGCAACCTGTCTGTAAATGCTTGCTATAAACTAATTAAAAAAATAAAATTTGATGGATAAACATGAAAAAAAAATTCTCACCGAGAATTTTTTTTTTAAATATCAGCACTCATTTAGAGTTTGGGATTTGTGAAAGAAAGCTTTAAAAGGAGCAAACCTGATTGGCTGTGGCTGTTGCTGCGAAGGGGACACTTGTTGCAGGAGTTGTTGCTGCAGAGACAGTGGCGGACGTAGCGCTGTGCATCATGGGTACTTTCAGGAGGGGAACCATGGGAGCAATGAACAGGAGGGTGTAGCATTATGGTAATAGAAGTGGTATTTTGGCATGGTGAATATCAGAGCAGCAAGCCATCATGGGTTAAACCAGCAGATGGCATGCAATCACAATGCAAAGCAAGGAAGCATGGGAGAGAAATAAAAAAGGGAAAATAGCTTATTACAAGTACAATTAAAGGAAGTTTTAAAACATAATCAGTGATTCCCAGAAAGGCCAAAGCAGATTACTTTGGTTGATGTATTTATAAACATTTTACTTCTAACAATAGATCCATTCCCAATTCAGAGTATACGGTGTATGTAATAATGGTTGTTTCTAAAATTGTGAAAGGTGATGTCTGATGAAGCAAGAATATGTGATCATCACTTTTAATCATAAATTCTGAGACATCCAAGTCTCCATATGGAGGCCTAATTTGGGATAGGATGTTCTTTGGAATTATGGTGAAATTGAATTTTTTTTTTCAATTTGGAACTGCTTACATGAAATGGAACTGCTGTGGGTTGTGGTTTATTTGAATCAATAAACGATGGAGCAAACATCATAGCCTTGATGCAAATTCTAACACAGTTACTCTGAAATAGCCAGACAAAATTTGCAATGTTTCTTTTTCTTGACTCTAAATAGATGTAATCCACATGTCTTAAAGACAGACGTTTGTACCAAGGCATTCATGTGTGTGAAGACAACTATCTGCTATTAAAATTGAATGGCTAAGGGAATGCTGAGGTCCAGAAAAATCATGCCAAATAAATCAACACTTAAAATTAGAAAAGATAATTAAGTTAAGAAGCTCAGACATTCAGTTTCAAAATACATCCATTTATACTTTGTAAAAAATGAATACTTCTGGGAAACTCTGATCGCTCTAACACACAGCAAAGAGGAGATAAAGGCACACCACTATGAAACTTTCAAACATTGATGAAATTAGCCTGCCTCGCTGATAGAGTAAGCTCTGTTCCTTACGCTATACCATATAAACTATAAAGAGAAACAAAACACAAATCATTAAAAAGCAGACTCGTACTTGTGGCTTTATGTTTTTGTAGTGATTGTTCTAGCACAAGAGGTCACATTAAAACCGTCATTTTCTTAAATATACAAGTACATTTTTAAAAACCTATATGTTAACTCTAAAGCCAAATAAGCCTTCAAATCTACTATTTCCTGTAGCATTTCTACCATCTCTGAAATAAATTTCAAGCAAGTGAAGGTATTGTACATCATATAAAAGACAAATAAAAAAGGTTGAAACCTACCAATACTGGTAGCGGGTGTCATGCACAAAACTGACCCTGATGTCATGCAATGGTGGGTGGAAAAAGTGAATAAAGGGAAAGAAACAGGTTAGCGGTTTAGAGTTAACATTCAAAGTGAGATTGAAGCACAACCAGAAATAAGTAGGGTTAGTTAACACAGTCTTTTAGGGCCATTCACATTGTCAGTACAGACACAAATATATCGACTTATTTTAAGCCAATATTATTCCAAGCTCACTCCTTAGACCACTGTCCACACTTTCTATTCATATGCATCGACATGATTCTAATAAGAATGACATGTGATAATGCTGTGGTGTCCTTCCTCTAAAACCTCAAAGTATTTTACAGACATTATCAAGTTAATCCTCCAAGGTAGGAAGTAGGTATTTTACAGATGAAAAATCTGAGGCATAGTAACTCCTCCAAGGTCATGCATGGTGTGGGTCAAGGGGAAGGGTAGAAATAGAATTCTCTTCCTAAATCCAGGTCATCTTTTATATTCACTAGAATACACTGAACTTCCTGCATTAAAAGTTTACTTGTTTGTTTGACTGTAAATGTTTTGTGTCAACAATCGTATGAAAATAAGAACAGTATTTAAGATTTAAGATATTCTCCAAATCAGAAACTTGCAGGGCAGGATGGGTGAATTTTAGATTACTGCTTGAAAGCCTAATCACCTAGGAAGACTGAGGTTCTTACAGGGAATGACCTGTATGAGCACATGGTCTTCTCTCTGTTGTAAGATTCATTGTGATAAAGGAGTAGTGCCTGGCAATAAAGCCTAAACACTGTAGAGGCAAAATAGTGCAGAGTTGCAGCTGAGTTAGGACCGGGGCTAAGGAATTTTGTCATGACTACTACAGGGTGATCCCTGAGGAGGATTTCTGGCAAAACTAGGAAATCTCAAGTTGGTGTCTGAGTGGGGAGGTAGGAGGTGGGAGGGGCGATTTCAACCCTTTCTTAGAAATAGCTGTCTTACTTGTGGTGGTCATAATTATCATACACGCATCAGGAAACTCTGACCATGAATATTATATTCATGCATGTTGTGGAGAACTGAAAGAAAACTGTATTGAAAGCTTTGGGGAATTATCTGCTACTGGTTCAGTTCCATGAAAAAAAAGTAATACATGGATTTAGATCATTGAAGACTGGGTGTCATGTAGGTGCCTGAGAAGTAGTTTCTTGTGAATATAGGAATGTCCTCTTAGAGTTTCAGAACTGACTTCTGAGATATTAGTTGGAGAATTTGAGATGTGTAGATCTTTATTCTCTGTGGAGCTGTTCACGCTGGAGGGCAACTTTTTGCCTGAACTACATTTTGATCAAGCTAACATGACCTAGTCAGGAAAGGGGGCTATTTAACTGGGCTACAGCCATAGTCTTCAACAAATGTGGGCCAATACATCCAACTTAAACCTTTCTCCAGCCCTATTCTCTCATCTTCACAATCAAACTTCTGGAAATCTACCTGCACATAAATATTTACTTCCCTATCCCTACTGAGTCTTCATTCCTCTTCAATTTGGCTTTCATTTGACCTCTGCACTTAAATTGTGAATGCCAATCACCAGGAAAATCCCATATTGCTGCAGCCAGCAGGAACTCTCCCATCCTCACCTCACTGTTCCTGATTCTCAGCAGCATTCAGCACTCCGCCCTTCCCTCCATCGGAAGCCACTGTCTTCCCTTAGATTTTTGATCACACACACACACACACACACACACACACACACACACTTTTCTTTCTGGCAAGTCCCTTTGTCTACTTTGCTCAACGACCTTCCTTCCCTGAACTCACTCTCTCTATGCTGGAGTTCCTCAGGACTCAGTCATGGATCCTTTTCATCTATGCTGCATTTCCTGTGGTGTATCGTTCACTTCGTGGGTTTGGATTCCAGGAGCTTCCATGTTTGTGTATCCCACGCAGATTTCTTCTCAAAGTTCCAGGTCCTTTCCTCTAAATGCCCCCCTCACCTCTCTGCTTGGATGTCTCATAAGTGTATCAAATGGAACAGGACTGAACTTTGATCTTTTCACAGAAACTTTCTACACCTCGGTCTATGGCCACACCACCCTGAAAGCGCCTGATCTTATCTGATCTCAGAAGCTAAGCAGGGTCGGGCCTGGTTAGGACTTGGATGGGAGAAACTTTCTACACCTCAGGAGATACCTGATGGGCATCACCATCTAAGTAGAGCTCTAGTCTGAACTGAAAGTTACGCCTGCTACCCCTTCCCCTTGTGAACTTCCCAGGTCCAGCTCACCAATCAGCCAAAGCAATCCTGCTTCTAGCATGCAGCTTGCAGTCATCTGTTTGTCCGTCACAACTGCCACATCTGAAGTCCTGGTCACCATTATCTCTAGGCTGGCCTGTGTGATAACATCCTACGTGGTCTTCCTGCTTCCATTCTCGTCCCTCCTTAGTTCATTCTCCAGCTGCTGGCAGAGTAGATCTTTCCAAATGCAGGCCTGGCCACTCCTCCGCTGGAAACCATTCAGTGGTTTCTCATTGCTTTTAGGATAAAGGTCCCCTGTGGTCTAGTCTCTGACTACCTCCCCAGGCCCTCCTACACCTCTCTTCCCTGGCACCATGATACAGACAGATTAATTTTTCTTTTCTTTGAACTGAACACATTACACATTTGTCCTATTTTTGAGCTTCCCACAAGCTGTCCCCTTGGCCTAGAATAATCTTCACCTCACTTTTTTCATCTTCCAGATCTCAGGGTATATGTCACTTCTTTAGAAAATGCTCAGTTGTTATTTTACCTACCTCCCCATGCCATCAAGTCAGTTTCTATTTTTAATCTCACTGAACTCTACTTTTTCATTCATAGTACAGGTTGAGCATTCCAAGTCTGAAAATCTGAATCCAAAACGCTCTAAAATCCGAAACTTTTCGAGTGCTAACATGCCCCTCAAAGAAAATGCTTCTTGGAGCATTTCAGATTTCAGATTTTCAAATTTGGGGTGCTCAACTAGTTAATGTAATCCAAATATTCTAAAATCCGAAAAAAAAAAATCCAAAATCTGAAATATTTCTGGTCCCAAGCATTTTGGATCAAGGGGTACTCAACCTGTACTCATAAAAAAAATGGCCGAGCACAGTGGCTCACACCTGTAATCCAAATACTTTGGGAGGCCGAGGCGGGTGGATCACCTGAGGTCAGGAGTTCAAGACCAGCCTGCCCAACATAGCGAAACCCCATCTTTACTAAAAATACAAAAATTAGCTGGGCGTGGTGGTGCGTGCCTGTAATCCCAGCTACTCAGGAGGCTGAGGCAGGAGAATTACTTGAACCCAGGAGGTGGAGGTTGCAGTGAGTAAAGATCGCACCACTGCACTCCAGCCTGGGCTACAGTGCAAGACTCCATCTCAAAATAAATAAATAAATAAATAAATAAATAAATAAATAAATAAATAAATAAATAAATTCTAATTGTATTTTCTATGGATATTTGTTGAACATTGACCTTTCCCCCTTTCTTGTAAACTCTGAGAGAGCAGAGATCTTGTCTGTCTAGGTCTATGGGGCACATAGTAGGTGGTCAATGTGTTGAATGAATGTTCTCCGCCATTAGTAAGAAGTGTGCTGGGAGTGATTTGTTTCTAAAATTTAATAAAATACTCAGTTTGTGAGTTGCTCCGTTTTAGAGTCAACCATGGATGGATTCAAAGTTACACCTGGCCGAGTGCAGTGGCTCACGCCTGTAATCCCAGCACCTTGGAAGGCCGAGGCGGGTGGATCAAAAGGTCAAGGAGATCAAGAAGGGTCTGGCCAAGATGGTAAAACCCTGTCTCTACGAAAAATACAAAAAAATTAGGCGGGTGCGATGGCAGATGCCTGTAACCCCAGCTACTCAGGAGGCTGAGGCAAGAGAATCGCTTGAACCTGGGAGGCGGAAGTTGCAGTGAGCCAAAATCACGCCACTGCACTCCAGCCTGGGTGACAGAGTAAGACTCTGTCTCAAAAAAAAAAAAAAAAAAAAGTTACACCTATAAAAATGCCCTCTTATTTTTCTTTCATTCAAATGTGGAGCGGAGGGTCTCTTGGAGAGCTTTGCTGTGCCATGCATGTGAATACCAATGGTACTGCAAATAATCCACAGCTCCCACAGCTGCACTGGGCTAGGATCAGTCATGTCACTTTGGCTTCAGTCCTGGATGTGGCTGAAATCCTTAACCAAATTAATTCCATGAGCCTCTCTCTCTCTAAGTGGCCTAATAATGCTGTGAATATTGGAAATGCATAGCTTATGCATGTGTGGCTCCCTTACTCAATGCCACATCTCTGCCTTTCTATAACACTCCCATCCTCTACTCTCTGCATACACCCTGTATATACTTTATGTTATAGTTATGATGGACAATTTTCTATTCTTCAAGTACACTCTTCCCACGTCCCAACTGGGATGCTTTTCCCCTTCTGATAAAATCTTGCTTCTCTTTCAAACTCCTAGGCAAACTTCTCCTACTTCGGAAAGTCTTCTTTCTCCATATCCTTCGTAACCACCACCTGGTGCACATGCTGGAGGCGTAATTCATTGTCCCCTCTCCTTCACTCTTGAATAGCTTTGCCCAGACCCTCAGGTACTGTTTCATCCTCTGCATAATATTTGGTTTTCACCTCATTATGAACTCTTTTGTATTCTCATTACTGGCTCTGGAACCCAGAACATACTACGGGTTCAAGGTATGTTTGCTGAATTGAATGGAATAAATTTTGTTGTGCTTATGCAGATATAGATGCCACTAAACACTGATCAATCTTTCACCAAGTCATGTGACAATCTGATGTAACATTTACACATTTCTCATCATTAGGCCATATCTGGACACTGTCCCCTGTTCTACTTATTCTGTACTTTCAATGTAATGAAATAAATCAAGGAAGGATTCTGTGGGTTGCCTTTGTTCTGATCAGTTGAAGCATTTCACTAAGGCACCAATTCTATGAACAAAGACTTCTCAAATGTTTTCTGCTTCAGTTGCACAAATATTTCAGCTGTCATATCTGTGAGCCAGAATTATCTGGGTAGTTCCGTTAATTGTGTATTCCACTTTGCAGTGTAGACACAGCCTCAGTTTTTCCATCTGCAAAATGCAAATAACCATGCCTGCCACTAACAGAACTGCAACATCTTGAAGAATAATGAGATAATGTCTATAAGAACACTTACAGTAACTTAGAATAAACCTGTCAGAGAAATGCCAAGAATTATTATGCTGCTATTTTTGTAAGTGTGTGTGGTTTTGCCACTTTCCTAACATAGAAAAGAAAAAGTCTAACTACTTGGTTAAAATAATCCCAATCAAAAAAGAAAAAAAAAGAAAAAGAAAACTTCCACCCGCGGCAAATGTACTAGGGCATCAACTAGGGCAATAATGATCTTAGCATGGTTTGGGAGAAGACTCTCATATTTTGCATAACATTTTATATTAATATCTTTGCAAACTGGAGGCAGAATTCCCAAAATCCAAATTCACATTGTGTCAATGGGAGAATTTTAGTATCATATCAAAAGCTTTAACTATGAATGGTTTTTGATCAAGGGCAACCTTCAGGAAAACACAAAATGCTTTTTTGTTTTATATTTATGTTTATGTAAAACATTTATAGAAAAATCAAAATCTGTTCATTTAAAAGTAGTGGGTCCTCTATGTACCAAGTTGTAAGAATTATTTTTGAACATCTTCACTTGATTTGCAGAGGTTTCAAATCAACAATGATGAACAATGAGTGATTATCATCTTTATCATTTTAGAAATAAAGTTGAAAATGTGGCTTATAAGAAAGAAAATCAGAAGCAAAACCTTGAGCTATAATGAACAATAAAATTCCTGGTACGGGTTTAAGTGGGTTAAAGATTATTTTAATTTCCTTTTAATGAAATTATTTTCTCTTTCCTCATTTAAGAGAAATGTGAAAATTCTTAGCAGTTGAAATACCATTTCAGAACACTAGATCCACATGTTTGTTCACTCTGATATTCATGTCTTGTAAGAAATGGAAACCCTTCTAGTCACTGTATTGGTGTGCTAGGACCCACTTTTTGGCTTCCAAAGCCCACTGTATTGAGGGTTGCCAGACACACTTAAGCTGTTCCTAAAGAATCCACCAGAGGGCGGAAGTACACAACCACAGCAGCCAATGCAGCCGCATGGGTCCTTCATGCAATACATTTCATCAACAAAAATCAGGTCATTGCATAAGGGATGTTGTTTATCCTTGCTTTGGAAATGTTTAAAAGGCTTCCAGGTGAAATATTTTAAAGTGATGATTCTTTCAGTGATTTAACAAATCAGTCATTATTGGGTTGGAGAATTAAACATGTGCTGGAGGGCTGCCGGGTCTTTTGGCAGGCTTAGCACCAGAGCTCCATAGGTATTCCCAGGACATGGTAATGGCAGTAACATCCATTCTTCAAAAACAGGCTTCTCCTTTTACATTTTTCCCCTCGGTATATTCTTCCTTAATTTTTTTTTTTTTTTTATCATAAAATATCTAGTGGCCAAGAGGTCTATAATGAGACACTTTGTAGAAACCACACAGGACATTAACGTAAGTTTACCTTCTAGTAATTATTTTACAAATGTGTTATCTCAAGTAGATTACATGTTAAAACACTGCTATGCTGTAACAGCACTGGAATGTCACTAATTAAAGCTGTAATAGGGCAAGAGTGAACCCCTAATAAATACTGCATTAGAGATTTCTTCTACAAGTCTGTGATTTTAAGATAGGTTCAAAACTAAAATAAGAAAAGTAAACACTGAAAAACCACTTTGCTCACATAATTTATATCTTAACTAAAATATGTATTGTTCACAGGTTACTAATCCATTTCAAAGTGTAGATTTCATACAAAGAATATCACAGAAATATTTTACCTCCCTCTGATGTTAACTCTGATAAGCTATGGGATTTAAGGAAATGGATAATAAGCTGGAAAAGTTCAAACTTATGGATTTGAATCAAAAAACTCTTTTTGTTAGAATTGTTATTCATTTATATTTACCTTCATTTCACTGTTGTGGGCTGAAGAATTTTGACTCACAAAGAACTCAATGGATGGTCTTCCCACCAGGGCTTACATTATCCCCTGCTTCTAACATTGACTATAAGGTGAAAACCGAAGTCAATTACAGTGACTATCTTTGCATATGGTGTGCGTGTGTGTATCTGTGGTTAGAGATGTCGGTGCAAATAGGGGAGGGATGACATGCTTTATACTTTTGTTTTTTTACTTTTATCTGACTTTTTGGGGTCACTTATTCAAAAATTCACTTTTATCTGCTCTTTTCTTTTTTCAGGAGAACTCTGTGGTATGTGTATATAGAGGCAGGTCTGGGTGGTAGAATGTGATGTAAATGGAGTTGGTCACAGGGAAACTCAGTTCTTTTTCTCATTAGTTGTGGCACCTTGGAAAGTCACTTCTCATTTAGGGGGCCTCAGTTTTCTCATCTGTAAAACAATCATCTGGATGAGGAGATCACTAAGAGTCCTTTAAACTCTAAGATTCTATGACTATTACAATGGATCTTTTAGTGGAATCATAGTTAATGCACATGGTACGTAATAGTATCAGGCATTGGCTTAGACACTGAGGATAAGAGCTCTATATACTTGTGAACTTGGTGAAAGTTGAGAAGGATGGAGAAAGAGATAGAATGGATATAAAAATATGAGTAGAGAATTGCTTTAATTTGAATAGTCTCATTGTTTTAGTGCTCTGAATAGCAATAGAAAAAAATGGTTAGTATTTACTGGAATTGCTATTTTTTAGGTCATTCAGAGTTAACAACAAATTTCAACTGTCACACATAAAAGGTCTTATTTACATAAACAATTTGACACGGCTTGTGTGAATACGAGAAACCAAAAGCCCTAACTGCTCTCTGTTTCTCATGGGTTAAATCTGTCTTTTCAATCTATCAAATATTTGGCTTTAGAATCCTAACAGTCTTTAGCTATCATTCAAAGTAAGGTAAATACATTTAGATAGCTAGGACAACGATGAATTTCAAACTGTATTATACCTTCAAAAGCAAACTAGATGCCACCAAACAGCTTATAGAAATGAGAAGAAAGCACATGACCAGAAGGGCACAGGACATAGGGCAGTAAGAGCACATACCTGTTGGAATGAACGCGGCGTGTTGCTGCAACTGTGCGCTGGTGAGAGCCTGCTGGTAGTGCAAGACGCTGGGGTTAAAGACCGCACTGGTACCATTGCTTTTTTCAAGTGCTTGTCTCTTTGGTAAAGGATGAAGAGCACCAGGGGGAAAGGCCTAGAAATGAAGAATTCGATAAGATATGTCTAACTTAAAGCAAACACAACTTCCGTGTTCATAGAGATCATCAATTGCAACATTCTTTTTAAAAATGACAGCTAAGGAGATGCCTCTGCCATGCACCTTAATTTAAACAGCGGCAATGTCGAATGAGTGAGAATTTGTTATTGAGAGCGAAAGCATGATTTCTGTAACCCAAAACGGTAGCATCTCAACTAAGGAAAAGAAAAACTATCAAGCAACAACAACAACAAAAAAATGGCTTCAGCTTTTAAAATGAGTTAAACTATTCTAAGGGGGAGGAAGCATTGGTGTTATTATTAATACCTATTCTTTTATTTAACTAAATGGCAATTTCTTGAATTTAAAGGTTAATAAGAATTATAATGAACATTTTCTGAGTCAAATAATTTAAATTTGCTTCACTCTTTTGGAAAAGGTATTAAAATTTGTTAGGATTAATTTATTTCACAGATTACGTATGAGAATGAGATGGCTAAACACCTTATTGGATTTTTTCCATAAATTAATAATAATGATTGTTTGCAACCAATATTTTACAAGTAATACAAATCTCAGATGGTTCTCTGAAAAGCTACATGCAAAGCGAAAGGTGAAAGGTCAAAGTACCAGGTCTACAGTTGCTTCGAGAGGTCGCTTCATTGCTTTGGCAGTCGACTGAGTCTTTTAATAACAGGCAGCGAGCACATGATGGCAGTGGGCCAATGGGATTCAAGCGAATTAACATACAGGTAAACAGCAAGCAGAGGTGCATCATGGGAACGGCATTGCATTGTGGATAGGTGAGAAGGAAAAAAATATTCTGAATGCAATATACAACGTACAAAACACTAGGCATGCACAACAACAAAAATGTTCTCTAAAGAAATGAATATTACACCTTAAATTAGTATTGAAGCAAAAATGCATCTACTATACCTTAGTTAAAAGCATATAAGAGAGTAAAATATAGATGTTTGAAATTCAGGAAAGTTAATTAAAACAGCAGCTTGCATACACACCATAAGCATTTTTTATATTGCTTCAGAAAAAAATGCAAAATTTGTAAGGGCCATAGGATCGAAGAACTTCTGATAAGTTAGTTTTCAAATATGAAACAATGAATCCATCGAGTAAGGATAAGACCCAAGTTGAAATTTTTCATAAAAATAATCTAAAATTCATAGCTAGCCTAACAAAATGAAGTGGCAAACTGAGACAAAAAATTCAGGCAAAAAAATATTCAAACACAAGATTATTTAGGCGAAACTGTTGGGTTTGGATCTTTATTTTTTGTCTGAATCATGTGGATAATTGTCTCAATTCTTGTCTTCACTCTGCTAGTGTGAGTCTTGTCATGTGGACTAAAGTTCCAAATTTAGTGGCTTGAATTTAAATAGTGAGTTTCCAGAATTCCCCACTTTTATTCCATCATCCTGTTTCTAACAACCAACTTATCATCCATTCTGTTTTCTACTACATTTGAAATGTTCATTTCATTTATCTCAAACAACTTACCGGATTATACTAAGAAAATACCCTTTAAAAGGTATTTAGTGTCCCCCGGTATCAAAATAATTTCTATTTAGTAATTCTATTTGTACTTTTAGCTACAGTCAGTGAGCAACCCCATTAATGAAAAGTGGAACTCTTGGAAAGAACACATACAATAGCTAAAAATAGCAAACAGCTAAAAATAATGGCAAAGAACTGCTTGAAAGATTAGAAGTAAAATAATATCTTTAACTTAGAACCATAATTTTGGGAAGACAGCTTCATTTAAACAACTGAAATAAAAACAAATATGGATTGATTTAGACCACGATGAAAAATTTTCCTATTCTTTGTTAATTGTTGTAAAAAAAAAAAATTAAAAATTCTATGATGGAATTCTATGCAAATAAATAATTCAAAGGAATTGCTCCAATGCAAATAAAAAATGAAATACCCTTTTCTATGTTTAGCACAATAGGTAAATCCCTAAGGTTTGTCTAATAAATACAAATATTATATTCCAAAGTTTTGAAATAGAACTTTGTCATTTGACATGAGATAGTACTAAACCTTTAAAATGGGAAACAGTTAATGACATTTTCCTGGATAAAGGATGTTTATTGTTGTTTTATAATTCAGGATAAAAAGTATGGAGATAATAGGGGATAAGGGGAGAGCTGTGGAGGGGAAGAGACTAGAAATAAAGTAGAAAGAACTACAGGCAGAGAAGAGATTTAGAATGGCCAATGGAGAAGAAAATGTTTTGGAAGGTAGTTTTGATCAGGGTCATCGAATAACATGAAATCAATGTTGTGAAAGTACAATTGTGAACATTAAAAACAATGAGCTGACAAAACTTCTGTGTACTGGATATTCTTCCCTTGCATGTAACTTTGACATCATGTAACTTCCATAATGCCATTTTTGTTTCAAATCTTCCATCCTTGCACAGCTTTGCATTGTTAAGCAGTGCAGGGTTTTCTTTTGTTTTGTTTTTCGAGCTTCAGTTAATTTGCGTCAGCTGAAGAAGGTTACAAAGCCTATTCTCATGGAACACATTGAGAACGTGAACTGGATCATTAAACTCAAAATCATTTTGGCCTTAACTTTCTGGACTCAATTTTTCCCTTCCCATTTGCAATCCTAAGTATTTACAGAATGAATCCACTAATGGGTTGATCTTTTCCAACATGTTAACTAGAAGAGCGATTGTGTCTCCAAAGGCTGATATTCATGAACAAAAATTTGACTTAACAAGGAACCATTTAATGAAGTCTCCAAGTACAATGAAAAATAATAAACATTTCCCTTTAGGATTGTCACCTGGAAGGTTAATGTTCTTCTTCTGGTCTTAGTGTGATGAAACTTAATTTCCATAGAATTTAGAATAATCTAGGAATGTAAAAAAACTGAGAACACTAGAGTGAGCAGGACAGTGACATGTATCTCTTTCTATCACTCCATGGCGTGAGTTTTCTTTATTAGAGGCAGATCTCTCCTTTTTAAGTAAACACTGAGGTCTTGGAGGGTGGGGTGTGCATATTAACATGCTGTTCATCTCACACGGTGAAGCAGGTATGTGGAGAATGTATTTTAAAAATCCATGTGGATGAATAATCATGTTATAATGTACCATTTTCATATACAGATGCTCAGTTTTCAGTGATTTTGACTGCTGGCATATGTTTACCTACATTGAAAGATCTTCAGGCTTAGAACAGATCTCATAGATCACCAAGCCCAGTGTATCCTAAGATCCTCCTTAAGCACCAAGACAGTTAATTGAGTCCTCACTATGTATCAGCCACTTGGAATCCATCTGGCTGGCATCACCAACATTCTGAGCCTTTGCTTCTCTGGGCCTCTCCAGTTTGGTGAGCATGGGTGATGAGTCAGAGGAGGTCCTATGGGCAGTTAGGCTTTTATTTTTTTGAATTGAGGACCAATCCACCTGCAAGTCAAGGTAATCGAACCAACTGCCCACATCAGGCATGATAGGCAAAGACCAAATCTGAGGGGTCAGAAAACACTGACAACAATGATCAGAGCTGTCACTTTAAAGTAGGAAAGAAGGTAGACAAGTAGGATGCCAATCAAAGTTCCTGTACAGACTTTCCTCAACAATCAAAACATATCTAGCTGATGGCCGCTTGTCCTGTTTCCTTTTGCAAAATGGTTCTTTCCTTGTGTCACTCCATTTTGGTGTATGTGAACAAAGATTGCTTGTATGAAGATCAGACACCTTTTGTGTTAACACTACCGAAGAAAAGTTCTGTCTGGCTTATTCTCATGTTTAAAAAATTCTGGTGATTGTGATGGTTATGTTTTAAGAAGTATTTAAAAGAATAAGACTCTAAAGGAAATAAATGTCTTTTATTCTGGAGTCAAAACTTTCCATTCTTTTTAAGCATCTAATTAAAATAAGTGGAAAATCTCCAGACAATAATAAAAATTGTACCCTGGAAATGCTTGGGGTTTATATATGGAAGTCAGGTGAATGGAATATTAGTATCTTCTAACTGCATTCATCACTCCTGTTTGTCCTTTTAAATAAGGAAATAAAATAATAGTTTTTCTTCCATGAACTGAGTAATTTTGCCATTAGAGTAGCAACACTTTGACTTTATCCAACAGCACCTAGGCTGGTTTCAAATGAGTGTCTCACTTCAACTAAAAACACATGACAGATTCAGTAATTTTCATGTCATTGTCAGCAAGAACCTGGCTTTTGTTCTGAAACTACATTCCTTTGGGTTGTCTTTGACGATGCTGCAAGATCCTCTGACTTATCAGAACTCCAAATTTGGGCACGGTGTAACAATCCAAGAAACTATGGTAACTAACACTGTTGGCATCCACTGCAATAATCTTTATGCAGCTTGAGGAATGTAACCATGAATGTAATGTGAAAATGTGTACAAGGGTACACAGAAGAGTACAGCTTTGACTTGAAGAAATGTAGCAGGGAAATGACCTGTTTGTGTAAATGGCCATTTTCCTTCTTATCCCCATCAGCCCAGGTCATCTACCACTGACATATACTAGGTGCATTGTTCCTTTAATGACTGAAGTATATATTGGTTGCAGATGTTAGAAATGGTCCATTGAGAAAACAGGCAGATGAAATCAGGGCTCAGCCCTAAGGTCATTATTAGTACCTTCATATGTTGTGTTAATAAGTACAGGCATAGGTTGTTTTATTGCACTTTGTTATATGGTACTTCGCAGATACTTCAGTTTTTTAAAATTGAAGGTTTGTGGCAACCCTATGTTAAGTCTATCAGTGTCATTTTTCCAACAGCATGTGATAACTTTGTGTCTTTGTCACATTTTGGTAATTCTCACAATATCTTAAAATTTAATGTTATTATATCTCTTATGATGATTTGTGATCAGTGATGTTTGATGTTACTATTTTAATTGTTTTGGGGCACCATGAACCATGCCGCGAACTTAATCGATAAATGTCATGCATGGTTTGACTGCCCCACTCACTGGCTATC